TGTCCCCGCTGGAAGGACCCATTCCACATTCCTCTGGCTCCTTCCCAAAGCCAATCCAAGTTGGTATGGATTCCATAATGGGAAAAGCTTTTTAATGGTGTTTAAAGCTCCCTTGCTGATGATTCCGTCCAGGAAAACCGAGGCACTTGGGGTGTCTGAGGTGAAGGAGGTGCCTCCTGCCTCTAGATGCTCTCCCAACCTAAGAGAGGGAATCTTTGGGAGTTTCTAACAGCTCCTTTATTGCTGTTCCTTGGGTAGATGCACAAAGCCCTCAGGAAGGCCCTGGCTCTGGCCAGCCCCTTGCCTCTGCAGCAGCTGGGGGGGATCTGAGCCGTGATGAAGATCTCAACGTTGGCATGAGGATCCTGGGCAAGAAGAGAACCAAAACGTGGCACAAGGGGACTCTGATCGCGATCCAGAGCGTGGGTACGTCCCCTGTGTGGGGCTGGGGCTGGCCTTGGGGCTTGCACCCCACTTTGCAGTTGGGAAAGCCACTGGTTTTACCTCCTCCTTTCCCTTCCTGAAAGGCTGTGGGAGGAATTCCTTTGGCTGGGAATTGGACTTGGCTGGAATCACTTGGCTCTGTTTATCTTGCCGTGGTGAAATGTCTTGCAGGTGCTGGCAAGAAGTACAAAGTGAAGTTTGATAACAAAGGGAAGAGTTTGCTCTCTGGCAATCACATTGCTTATGACTATCACCCTCTGCCTGAGAAGCACTACGTTGGCAGCAGGGTTGTGGCCAAATACAAAGATGGGAACCAGGTTTGGCTCTATGCTGGCATTGTGGCTGAGACCCCAAACGTGAAGAATAAGGACAGGTATTAATTCCCCTCCACTCTCATGTTCTCCCCTCTCCCTCTTCAGTTTTCATTTGGTTAGAGGAGGGGGGGGGAAAAGGTGTATTTGTTACTGTGGGAGCTAAATTCCTTCCTGCCCTTTATGAGGATGTAGTTGTGAGTGTGGTTTCTTCAGCCTTTCTTATCTCAGAGCTCTGGGTGGAGCTTCTGTTCTGTTACTCATGGCCCTGAGTCATGAATCAGATCTGGTAAATCATCCACGTTATCACACAAACACAAATCTGCCTCGCTCAAGGCAGAAAACCCAGTGTTGGGAAACATGAGCCCTGGAAGCATTTAGTTGCCAAAGCACTTGAAGAGAAACCTGCCAGGCACTGGGGACTCTCTTGTGCTCATCTCCTGTCTGCAGGTGGAGCCCTGGAGGTGTCCCCAGCTCCCTCCTTGTCACCATCCTCAGCCTCTGCTGCTGCTTTGTCCCCAAAGGCTCCAGAAATTCCTTTTCTCCCATTATAACTGTGCTTTATTCAGCTGCATTTCTAATTCCAACTTCCAATGCTGCTCTTTCCCAGGTTTCTGATCTTCTTTGATGATGGCTACGCTTCATATGTCAAGGAGTGGGAGCTGTACCCAATCTGCAGACCCTGTGAGTGTGCTCTGCCCCTCCTGGGTCCTGGAATTGTATGGAGGTCCTTTGGCTGTATGTAGGAGGTGGGGTTCAAAAGACAGGGGATATGTAGATGTGTGAGTCTGAAGCTGGGGAATCTGGTTTCTCCCTGGCAGAGTGGTCGTGCTGACTCCTCACACCCTGGGTGCGTCACCCAAAATCCCCCCACTTGAAACTCCATCTGGGATCACTCTCAAGTTTCTCCTTGTGAGAGTTTTCCACCCCTGACCATCCCTTTTCCCCTTTTGGAACAGTGAAAAAGACCTGGGAAGACATTGAGGATGTTTCCTGTCGGGATTTCATCGAGGAATACATCACAGCCTACCCCAACCGCCCCATGGTGCTGCTGAAGAGTGGGCAGCTCATCAAAACAGAGTGGGAAGGGACCTGGTGGAAATCCCGAGTGGAAGAAGTGGATGGCAGCCTGGTCAAGATCCTTTTCCTGGTAGGGCAATTCCCCTTCTCCCATGAGAGGGGGAAGATGAACTTAGATTTGAGGCTGGTGGAGCTCACTGATCAAGTCCAGTTTCCTTGCTGGTATCAGGCAGGGTCCTTAGTGTGTAGACCACCAAGTTCTACCTTGATGTTGAAGGTCAGACTCTTTCCTTTGCGTTCAGAAGCCCTTTAAAGCATTTTGAATGTGAAACTGTAAAGCAGTAGATGAATAAGAAACCAAATCCATCATCTGCAGGTGTGCAACCACCTCACCATGGCTTCTGCCCTAATCCCAGTGCTGGTTTGAGGAGCAGGGTTGGAACTGAGCAGGGGCTGGGGGCTGCTGCTTGCTCACATGCTGTAAGTCCCACAAGGGGAGTGGGTGCCCTGTCTGGGCCCACTTGGCTCCCTCCTTGTCCAGCCAGTGCAGAGCCACCAGGCTGGGGGGACACTGTGTAACCTCCCTGCTCTGGAGGATGCTGTGCAGAGGAATTGGCTTCTCTTCCAGCCTTCTCCAACCATGTCCCAGTGGTCAGTTGTTGGGCTAAGGATAGAACAAGGTTTGAGGTCTTGGCATTGGGCACCTTCTAGGTTCAGTTTGTATTCACTGTTCCTCCAGATGTGATGAATTCCTGCCCTTGTCCTCCCTTGGCTGCAGGGTCTTTCAGGAGCCTTCAGCTCAATGCTTTGCCTCCTTTCCCTTGGGTTGTGCTCCCTGCTGTCTCCCAGGCCTGGCTTATCCCTCTGGAAGCTCTTGCCATGGGTGCTGTGAGTGTTGTCTTCTCCTTGCTGCAGGATGACAAGCGCTGCGAGTGGATTTACCGGGGCTCCACACGCCTCGAGCCCATGTTCAGCATGAAAACCTCCACAGCCTCCACCCAGGAAAAGAAACTGAGTGGACAAGCAAGAACTCGTCCCAATGTTGGTATGTGGCATCTTTTCCTTTCATTTGGGTCCTGGAATTTGGACGAGTGCCTTGTGGTGGAGGGGTGGGAGCTGGCTCTGGTTTGGTGGCATCGGTTTTAGTGGAACTCCTGATGATCCAAGATTTCCAGTGGGCTTTTTCTCCTGACATAAGGATGCCACAGAACCCCAGTGCTCTTGTGTGAAGTGGCCAGAATCTGCCTGGGGTGACTGGCTGTGACTCCACACTCACCTGTGACCTGATGTTAACCACAGATCTCTCTCTTCTGGTTGCCTTTGGGGACTAAATCAATATCTCATGGCTTTGGTTGATGGTGGAGACTTCTGTTGAGGTTCTGCTCTTTCCCCCTCCCCACTAGGTGCTGTGAGGAGCAAAGGGCCCGTGGTACAATACACCCAGGATCTAACAGGAGCTGGTACCCAGTACAAGCCTTTAGAGCAGATGCAGGCAGCCTCACAAGCCCCACGCCCTGCTTCTCCACAGCCTGCTGAGATGGAGTAAGTACTCGAGTCACTTCTCTGCTTCCACCACTCCCTCCTTTCATCTCCAGTGCTCAGCTACTTCAGGCACCCCCTTCTCTGCATAGGGGAATCCTCAGGTGCATGTTTTCTCCATGACTAACTTGTTTCCTGGTTGCACAAATAGCTTTTAGTCATGTTTCTGGGGGAAACTCTAGATAAAGGCAGCTGGATGAGAACAGGGGGCGGGAGAGCTGAGAGCCCAGCACCCCCTGAGCCAGACAGCAGCTTCTTCCTCAAGGCTAAAGCTTCACCCTTGATGTATTTCCAACTTGGAGCGTTTGCTCCTTCCCTTCTCAAAGTCTGAATTGCTCCCTCGTGTCATGATCCAGGCCCTGGCCCCCGGCTGCTTTGTTTTCCTCCACATGGACTGAGCTGCTCGCAGACCTCGATGGCTTACGAGGCACTGGGAATTCGGGATCAGTGCTTGGTCATGGACCAAACCTGATCCAGCTGAGCCACAGCCAAGTCACACCCGGGCCTCCCGCTGCCAGGGGCCCAAACAGGATGGTCCTGGAGGTGCAGGCTAGTGCTGAAGGAGGCCTGGATGAAGGAGGAACTCAACCTTGTGATGAAGGGAGCATGCTGGAGACCACCAGGGTACCTGGGCACGGGCTCTGGGGCTTTCACGGGGAGGGAGATGCTGCCCCAGTTCACTTTTGTCACCACTGTGGATTCCCTATCCGAATTTATGGATGCCTGGGCCCCTGCCAGCATGTTTTCTGCTGTAACTGTGCCCTGCTCCTTGGGCAGAAGGGAGAGAAGAGATGTCCCAGCTGTGAGGAACCTGTGCAGGAAGTGAATCTTTACTCACTGGATGCTCCCTGCCCACAGCCTCCAGCCTCAGGAGGGGGCTCCTCTCCAGGTACCAGTGCAATAGGACCCGTTCTGCCCCTTGAACTTGGAAATGCTCCTCCCTCCTGTGCCATTCGGACCAAGACCTGAGAATTGAAGCCAGAACAGCCTTGTTCCTCCTCTCTTCCATAGCTGAGGAGGAGGGAGGTCTGCTCCAGTAGGAGGAATGCAGCACTGGCTCCTCACAGAAGCCCTGGGAGCAGAGGAAGAGCTGGGCTGTGGCCCTAACCCCAGGGCACCCCGAGCTGAGGAGGGTGTAGGAAGGATGTGCAACAACACAGCATGAAGATGATCAAGTTGGATCTGCTGAACCTCCTTTTCCATTTAACAATTCCATGGAAGCTTCAGGGGTATTTTTAATCTCCCCACAAAGACTTTGACTTGAGGGTCTTGTTTTCAGATCTAGTACAAGACACAGACACACACTACAGCTGGTTTCCTGCAGTTAAACAGGGACCTGCTTAAGGACACCAGTGACTGGAGGCAGCAATATCCCTGTCCCTGCTGTCCCAGAGGAAACTGTTGGGTTAAAACCAAAGTGGGTTTTAGCTTATTAAAACTGGGAGAATGTGTTTTTTTCACTCTGGTGTTTGCTTTGCTCTGAGGAAGGGCTGGTTCTAGTCCCTCTTTAGTCTCACTTTCGAGTTCCAGGGTGTCAGGGAGCTGCCACTTGGGGCTGTTTGAAGTCCATTAATGGAACCTCTTTTCTTTTGCTCTTGACTTCTCAATGCGTGTTGATACTTTGCTTTGTAGGGAGCTGTTTGCAGAAACAGCCACCCCCTTCTGCTCTGTGTCCCCTCCCTTTGTGCCCTGATAACATAACTGTGTTCTTCCACTTGTGGGGAAGGCAGTGGCTGGTCTGGGTTGGTTTTCTCTTTGCTGGGTAGAAGCACATTGGATCCACTGTTGCATCTCAGGGTGGGAGGGTTGTATCCTCCAAGTGTCTCCCACCTCCCTGGTATTGTGCATCCCAGTTTGGGAGCCCTTTGAAGCCCTTTTGTCAGCGATGTTGTTCCATTCCCTTGCACAATCTTATCTTGTTACTTGGTACAGACAAAAGAGGCCTCTGTGCTCGTGTTCCTCCCACTTCTCAGCACTGCCCAAGCCTCTGTAAACTCTTCTTTCTGCTGGTGCAGGGGTTTCTTCATGGACTGGTTTGGCCAGCTGCTCCAAAATGAAGGCCTTGGACAGCCTGGTCACCCTCCCTCTCACCCTCGTGCCTTGCTTCCAAGTAAATAGCACTTTTTAATGTGTGCTGGCATGTGCTTGGGGTTGTAGGACAAAGAGGCAGAAAGGGGCTGATTTTTATACTCCTTAGCAAAAGACCTGCTTGTTTTCTCAGGGATGGGGTCACTGCTGCTCGTGCATCTTGCAAATCAGAGGCTCATACAATCAAAGCCCTTTAAAATCATCAAGTCCAACTGTTGCTCACCATTAACCCACCTCACTAAAGGCCTCGTCTACCCAGTTTGGGATCACTTCCAGGGCTGGTGACTCCACCATTCCCTGGATAACCTGTTCCAATGCCTGACCCCCTCCCTCCTGCAGGTGCTCGGACAGTCAGCTGGCCCAGGCAAGGAAGCAAGTGGCCAAGAAGAGCACTTCCTTCCGTCCCAGCTCCGTGGGCTCCGGGCAGTCCTCCCCTTCTCCCCCTGTCCTCAGTGACACCGCTCTGGCGGGCAGGACCACTGCAGCCCAGCAGCATCGGTGAGTGCAGCTTGTTCCCTGCATCCGTGGGGGAGTTCGGGATGCTGGGACAGCCTTGGGGACTTGTTGGGTTTATTTCCCTATGGACCAAACACTTTATTTGCCAGCTTATCTAGTGCTGAGCATTTGTCTTCCTCTTTGTGTTGCCTCCCAAAAAACTGTCCGTTACGTTTGAGCTTGGGGGGGTGTCTTATCAGTTCTGAGCAGCATTTATCCCAGTGGGATCCTGGCCAAAGCCTCTGCCCCTGCTTATTGCTAGAGGACTCCTGCTCCTACAAGCTCTCTAGGCTCAGAGGAAAGCTGCTGCTAATGTCAGTCTCCAAGTGGCTTTTCCCCAGTGGTGCCTTTGTGGCAACCAGCACAAAGTTGCTCTGTGGTCTGAGACCACAACCAGCTTGGGCTTGTTTTGCTTCCCTAGTTCTGATTTAGGGGGTGGTGGTTGTGTTCTCTGCTGCTGGTTATACTCCCTTTGGGGCCTGCCCAGCCTCACTCCCTGGGAGTGCTGGTGTTTGTGTCTAATTCACCTACACAGCAGAGTCAATGGGTGTCCTGGTGTGTAACCAGCAGCTGCTTTGGTAGGCATGAAGTGCCTAAAATCCCTTTGCTCTTTGAAGCTCTGAGGCCATGGCACAGGTTGCCCAAAGAAGTTGTGAATGCTCCATCCCTGGCAGTGTTCAAGGCCAGGTTGGACAGAGCCTTGGGTGACATGGTCTAAGTATGAGGTGTCCCTGCCTAGGGCAGAGGGTTGGATGATCTTAAGGTCCTTTCCAACCCATTCTATGATCCTAAGGCCCTTTCCAACCCATTCTATGATCCTATGACAC